TAGAAATGTATAATCTAAGTACTCCATTTTCGGGATGCCTCAGAAATGTATTCTATCTCATCTGGCACGGACAGATGTATACTTTTTATTCAACGCATGAAGAACGACTAAACATGTACTGGCATCCCCAAAGCTTAGGACTTAATGGAATCAGCTTATCCCTGACTCCACTGAAAACCATCATGGAACAATCAGAACATTTGCGACGACATTTAGAACGACGAAATAAAACTCTGTCAGACTCTGTGATACAGACTGTAATCACAAAGAATCAACTAATGTCGCTAGCTAGCCAGATGGAGAAGGAGACTGCACACCACTGGTGGGACATCTTTACTGGATATTCATCCTCTGCAACCCAAGTGTTGAATTTCTTAATACATCCTCTTGTAATATTGTTAGTTATCATTATTATTATTACTTTATATAATTGTTATGTATGGTATCGTATCAAACGGATAGAGCGAACATATTGGGCTCTTCCAAAAGGGTCGTGATCTTCACTCATAAGTCAAAGGACCGATTGAAACAAAAAGGGGCCCAAACAATAGGCCTCAAACCAAAGTTGACTTCTGAGTGAATTCCCCGACCAGCATCCATCATCTTATCAGCAGCATGAAGCAACCAGCATCTTATCAGCATGAAAATGTAACCCTGGGAACAATCCTTGGGAACTATAAGTAAACAATAGGAAGTAACTATAAATCCCAGATGTAAAGAAAACCAGAAACTCCTCAGACATGCCCGGATCCTGGCCAGATCCGGACATGCCTGAGTGAGGCATATCAATCTACCAGATATCTCCTGTGCGTTTTGTTTAGACTTGTTTGTTAAACTGTATAAAAGCTGGACCCTCTCACAGCAAAGACGGAGACCTCACCTACGAGTGGACGCCCTGCGTAGGACTTCCCAATTGCCGGGAAAGGCTCTCCGACCCTTCGCTGTGACGGGGCTCCCCAGCTGACGCACGGGTCTGGATGATGGTAAAGTATGAGGGCAATTGGTGATGTATCTTTCTTAATCACTATAGCTAGCTTTAAATAGTAATGTCTAGGTGCATTACCTTGCTTATTCTTTCTGCTATTTCTACTATAGTAAAATTTCTATTTCTACTAAAGTAAAATAAGCCTATTTCTTTAGCTTGGTGTCTGTGTCCTTTGTGTTAACCCCGTCAATTGGCAAAACAAATGGCAGCCCTGTGTGGAAAGTCCGTGGCCCAAGACACTTTTCCACTCACGAGGGGTCTGATGGCAGCGTTGACTGGCTGCTGCATCCCTGGCCGGAGGAGGGGTGGGGTGATGTGGGCAGTGCTCAGTTTTGGCTCCCAGCCTCTGCAGCGGGGAAAGCTCTGGGAGCCCTGGCAGCGGTGCAGGTGCAGCAGGCAGGGCCTCGGGAGCCTGACCTCCTCCTGACTGCGGATGCTCGTGCAGCCAAGGGTTATGTCCAAGCTGAACTGGAATAGCTCCCTTCTTGTTTGCAAATGGGCAAGCTGAAAACTACAGTTTTAGGCACTAGTCTTGAACAGCACAGCTGAGAGCAGGAATTACTCCTTGCTGGCAGAACCAAGAGAAGAATTAGTTGAATCTGTTTAACACTGAGTGCTGTAGTTGCCAAACCACTAAAGGAAGCTAACTGAAATGAGTATTTGTAGACACAATATAAATTAAAATACATACATGCTTATTTAGTGATTAGCTACCCCACCACTGCTATAAACAAATAAGCTAACTGATCACAACCCAGACCCTGAAGGCTCTCCTTCATTGATCCTACTCCTGCCCTCCAAACTGAGTACTGACAAGTACTACCTGGTGTAATGACCGCCTGGGTTCAAGACCCTTTGAGGCCAAGTGACTGCAATACAGGACAAAGAGGGAAATTCAAGGTCCTCTCAGCTCTGCAGGAGAGACACTGTAAGTAGGCAAGCCAGTGATGAAAGGGACCACTTTGGAACAAAACCATGGATACACACATGGTTTTATTTTATGATATCTGGGCTTGAAGAACATCCCACTGGCCTGTATCTAGCACTGAAGATGAGCCTTTTGAGGCCCTCCTCAGATGCTCTTAAACTAGAGGAATTCTTCTTCTGTGAGCTGTTAGGATGGGAGCACCCAGGTAAAACCAAAAGCTTTTATGTTAGATGTAGGAGCTTCCATCCATATTCAGCAAAAGGCTAACTCTCCATTGCTCGTCCTTGACCTCTTCAAAGCAGAAGAGTTCCCTTCTTTTGCCTAAACTTCCACTTTGCATGTTTTTATTTATATTCCATTCTTGACATCTCTTTCCTAGTCCATATACATCTAGCTTCCCAATCATTTCCTCAGATATACTTTCTCCCACACTTCCTCCTGTTTTATTTTCCCTAACTTATGCTTAGCATATTTAATAACATATGGGAAGTAGAATTAACTGAAATATGCCAGGAGCTGTTGCTTTTAATTTTTGGAAAACGTTTCTTCCCAAATTTAACATTTGATCCTTACACATATTTACCCTAGATGAGTATCAATGGTTTTTGCAATAGTACTGCATTACATGTTCATGTCCAGCTCATATGCAGTTTCCTGTAGACAAATCAGTCTACCTCAAACCTCTTGCTTTCTGATTGGAAGAAGTGGGGAGGTGTCAACGCAATGTAATATAATTCAATCCTCTAGTTGTGTCATTTCACTTTATTTGCAGTCAATCTCATCTAACAATAAGCTGACTCTTTTGATACATTCAAGCCCTTTGCAGGTGTATTTTATGCTGTTCTTTCAGGCTCTTCTCACAGCAGACATAATCATTTCTCATACATAGTTTTCTTTTAGAAAATAAATAAATTATTAACAAGTTATGTTTGTTGTTTGCACTGTTATAATCTTTTGTGGGATTCAGTGCAAGGATCTGAATAAAATATTCAAATGATACACAACAGCTAAATTTAGGAATCAGCCATAGTAATAAAGATATCCTGACTTACTGTGAGAGTCACACTGATCATGACTCATTGATACGTCTTCTCTACATTGCTAATGAAATTATTAAGTAACAAGGGCCCCAATACTCACCCTTCACAGTAATAACATACTGCTCTTCACTGGAATTTGCCAATGGTGGATTTCTAATTCACCCCCTGATATAAGTGTGTCAGAAACGCAATACACCTTGAAATAGCAGTATCTTCGTATACCATTTTTCATACAGGCCATAATCCAAAATAGTTTAAAGTTACATAATACATTTGCAAGCACAAGAGGGAAAAAACAAAGCAGAAGAAAAGAGAGTGAGATGAACAGATATGGACCCTGGAGACAATCACCCTGAAAACAGACGGTGAGTCAACCAAATGAACAGATGTGAGACGGTTTGTCTGGAGCTGCAGAAGAAAACACCATTTCACTGATGTCACAGACGTAGGGTGAAGTGGCTCGGAGAAGGCCAGTATAATCAAAGCAGGATGGTTATAGCAAAGCAAAGACTCAAGATCTTTTAGGTGGGCTGCATTAAGTCAGTAGTAAGCTTTAAGCTTGAGAAAAGCAACTTTTAACTCAGATCCTAAGCGAGCTTTGAATTTACTTGAATAGTACCATATAGAACTGTTTTCAGACACCGACTGCCTACAACATGATGTATGGACATATGTACACAATATATCCATTTAGATACTAAAGATATAAATATACCAAAAGGAAGCCACTGACTTTATAAGGTTAAATTTTAATAAAACCTTAGCACGTTCTAATCTTTCATCTCTTACTAGTCTCTCGTAATTCTGCTTGCTAAGGATAGCTAATTCCTGGCTCACTATTACTTTTCATATGATCTTACACTGAAATTATTGCATATGCTACTGCTAGAACAATTTTCAACTTTCATTATAATCTCTCTTTTGAGTCTCTCAGATAAGTGTCTGTTCAGCTGAAAACTACCATTTTTAGCCTTAAACAAGCAGCAATTTTTGGAATAGTGGAACAGGCAAGCTCAGGTGTAATTCAAAACAATATTTAAAGACTGTTTAAAGTAAGAACATACTTTTTCTAAATAATTTGCTTTAAGAATGGGGAAAAATGAGTAAAACGATTTTGCTCTTCCATGGTTTCTTCTGTAAGTAAAGCAAGACTCAAGTAAGTTCCAATTCATGTCATGCATTTCAAAGAACACCTGCTTAATGATTTTTAAGCTGTGGCTAGTCTGATGGGACTTGCTTTCAGCATCATTTAGGTCAAGCCACAGAACAGCAAGGGTCACCTTCCAGCACTTTGGATTTGGAGCTATCGAATGCCTGAGTTTCCAGTCCTATCAAAACCCTTAAGTCTGAGTTTAACCCACCTAAGCTCTGGGTCAGCCTTACTTCAAAGGCAGGTTTCAGAGTAGAGGTGGGTACGTGCTGGCTGGTCAGCCCAGCACCGGACAGACAGGAGCTCAGACGTAGCATGGGAGGGTATACTGAGGGCACCCTGATTCCCGCAGGCTGAGGTATCTGGCTTTACACACAGTACAGACACAACCCAGAAAAAACAATAAAACCACAGTGATTCTAAATAATTCCAAGAAAATGTCAGTGTGTTTTCAGTCTGTACTACACAAGAAAGCTTTAACGTTTACTTTCTCAGGGCGTGTTTAAAAGCTGAATACAAACTCATCCCCACCTGATGATACACAGCCTGACACTTTCAGTGGCACACAAGACCTATGGGAAGACACTGCAGTAAAAATGAGACCAGAACTGCCTAGGACATATATCGATGAAGGACATATGCTATCTTGAGAATACTCTGTGGACTTGTAAATGAAATTTGGGTCTGTTCCCTCAGGTAAAAATAGGAACTTACAGCAGGTAGAAATTTTGATACAAATTCCTAAGGATCACCCCAACCCACCACTTTGCAACGCAATCTAACTTACATATTTATCTGGTACCTTCAGTGAATACAGCACAGGTTGCTGATGTGAACTGCTCACTCGATGATCATTTTTCCCTTCTCTCTAAATTAAGATGATGCGGTATAGCTCACCTGTAACTTCTGGGTCAGAGAATCCCTCTGTGCCTGGAGCTCTCTGGCATTGTTGATTTCTTGTTTCAAACCTTCTATTTCCTAAGGGAGAAGAAAGAACCTTGCTAGCAACACATTACCTGGCTTGGCCTCAGTGCAGGTAAGCTGGCTGCTGCTTCTTCCCCTGAGCAAGCCACTGCAATGATACCAAAACGGGCAGTGGGCTACTGCCCATCACAGCACATAAAGTTTAAAACCATCTCTTAATACTCCTGAATCACAGTCCCAGAACAGCAATTCCTTTGTGAATAAATAACAATACAGACAAGCACTTTCTTTTATAAAAGTTCAGGTTTTCCTCTCCAAATGAAAAGGTCTGAAGTAATTTTTTCCTGGAAAATTAAGGGTCCTTGTAACTAGAGAAACAATTTTATACTTGAAATTCTATTTGAAACTATCCTTCTCCATTTTTCCAAGAGCAAAATCCAATTTTCATCTGTGATCTGCTTATTATGTTACTAGCAGCAGGGCTGAGCATCAGAAAATTGCCTGATTTGAGCATTGATTTCTGTAAAAAGAGTGTCTAAAAGAAATAGTATGTTTAGTTTGTCAAGAAGAAAGTAGTAAGGCACAAAAATAACAAATATAGATAAAATAATGAACGGAAGAGAAGCCTTTTCTTAGTTTACTTTCAGGATGCAAGAATAGAAACAGTTAATAGAACTAAAAGGAATCAAACTTAAAACTATTAACCACTTTTCCCTGGAAGGGCATATTCATCTCCCAGAACTCCTTTCGGAAAGATCTCTTTACAGCCAGCAGCTCAGCATAATTCAAAAGTGAATGGGCACCAAAATGGGAAACATTACCAACCAGAGGCTAATCTCAGTATGAGGGAGTTTGGAAAAGGCTTTGTTCCACTTTGGGAGGATATTCTGTAACTACTGTGCGTCCTCTGCATCCTCCTTGGGAACACCTAACAACTGCCCTGCCGGAGGCAAGACCCTTCAAGATGCACTACACACCCCCCACACCCCCCCACACCCACCCGGACATCCCCCACTCCCCCCCAGTGCCCACTGCCTCTGTCACGGAGCGCTCAAGGGTTCTGTTCTTACACAGGGCAAATAATCCTTCACAAGCAGCTCCTTCCACCCTCCTTTTTCCCACCCATAAAGGGGCGATTCGCGATCATTCTGGGGCACAAATCTGCTTTCCTCCAGGACCTGTGCCAGTGCAGGTGATAGTCCAATTCCTTTTATTTTCTTGCAGCTGGTCCAGCCCCAGGCAGATGGCACAATAAATACCATCAAGTTTCGGGCCAGGGGCTTGGCATGTGTTTAAGGAAAGGGCTGATCTTGGGGAACATAGAAGTCAGCTATATTAACATAGTCAGAAAAACAGATTGGCCTGGAAAAGGCACTGACTTGTTCCAGGCCCTACTCTTCAGAAAAATGAAAGCATGATTACAACAAGCTTCCCTTCTTAGTGAATTTGGACTGCATCTGTGTGATGACTGCTCTGTGGAAGCCACTTATGACTTACTTTTGCAAACAGAGATGCTTGGTAAAACCAAACATGAAAACATGATGCTTTTTTATGTTGTTCAGATACCCAGCTCTACATTGGACTGATGGAATTATATACACAGAAAAATATCAGTAATTTCAAACATGATGAAAAAAATTTTACTTCGTAACATCTGTAGGAAATAATACAGTATTTACTGGCCACCACAAGTTTAATATTGAAAGCCTTTAGAAATGACAAAACAGAAAAGCCAAGAATAAATATTAGCAAATACCTCTTCTTTTTTCTTCAGCGTAGACTCTAACTCTTGTATTGTCTGGTTTAATTCTGTTTTATGTGTGTGGACTGCATTGGCTTGACTGCTCACACACTCTAGCTCAGTCACCTGTTGACATAAGTAGAAGCAACACATACAGAATTTATTTCAACAAATTCAAGGTGCTATTACTACTTTGCATCAATGCCTTTGAAATATACCCTTAGTTCTGAGTGACTTATGTTGATTAAAATGGTGAAGGTATTCTTATGAAGTTGGAATAAAATTCCTTAACAAAATGTTTAGCAGAAAATGGTTGCTATGACATCTTGGAAACAATAAATTTAATATGTTGCAGGCTGAAAAGAACATTAATTAAAACTTATACTTAGTAATGACTGAAAAATTTCTGAAATAAGATGAATTAACATTTCAGAAACAGTAATAGCTAGACGATTAAACACAGATCTGTCTGTCTCACTAACCTCTCTGACACTTTTTAATGCTGCACCATCTTAATCAAGCAAGCCACAATGCTCACTCACTTCCTAGCAAGCTAATTAACATTTCACAGCCTCAATTTCTGACTCTGCATCAACAGGGTAATAGCAGACACTCAGCCACAAAAGTACAGCCGCCAACTTCTTACTTCCTCTAGTGCAGATCTCATGTCTCACAAAGCCAGCAGCTAAATGGCACAATTTGGATTTGCACAGTTCCTCTTTATTAGCAGATAGCAAACACTCTCCATCTGCTCTTGGATAAGTTAAGATACCTGGCAGTAGTATGCCCTTTTATTTTATTTTTTAATCAAAGAGATGCTAATATCCTGCCATTCACAGATAAACAGTTGTCAAAAGATAGCTTCTGCACCGAAGAAATTAAATCCATGCAGATAGAGTCTATGCAGAAAAGTGTCTCTTCATGTATCTCTCAAATGATAGATCAAAATATTAGAGAACTCTCAGACTGCACGCCTGTGTGGATGTGTGCACTGAAACTTTTTAATAACAAACTCTTAAAATAATAAAAATACTAATTAAAACATAATATTTTTTTTCCAGAAGATATATGCCTGTCAATCTTAGCATACAGTCTTCAACAGAGCTGCACCATCTACCTACAGTAACTAACATATCTGTCCCCAAAACTCCTTTGAACAAAGCGCTATGCAATTCTGCGACAAAAAACATTAGATCTCCATTTAAGTTGCTTGGAGAAGTAACCCTTAGACAGAGGGAAAGCATTCTCCAGGACAGATTTATTTCTTAGATGAAAGAACATCTCAAGGAATCAAGGTTGGTGCCCTCCAGCACCAGTGTAGTCCAGCTAGTGAAGCCACTGTGATGCCAGTAATTTCAGACTCTGAAATATTTGTAGGCTCAAAGTTAGATTACTGAGTGCTGAGAGAAGACGGAGGAAAACCAAGATGAAATACAGGAAAATTAAAACAAAATACCTGTCAATTTCTCCTTTCTGAGTCACAGGGCATGAACTTCCCCTCTGTAACAATCTTGATGAGTTTAGTTTCTTCTACTGGAAAACTGTGACTAATTTTTGCACATCAGGTTTATAAATGGAGAGAACTAAGACTACAGTAAATTCTTGGAAGGAGTAATGGGAATGAGGGATGAGGATATAGCTTGGTAACACAACACCCCCCACCCCAAAGAACTATCTTATTTGCTGGAATTGTCCCAAAAGAAGTATCAGTGCTCATGGCAAAAAATAATAGCAGTTTGCTCAGTTTTATATGCCACTAAGCATTACAACTGAAGTCTTAGACAATCTTCTAAATTTGCTTCAATTACACAAAAATATATCTATTTAGATTCCTTGTGACTGCTACCAATTGTGACTGTTATAGTATTTACCACTACAGTTACACAAACAAGCAGAATTGGAACACACCAACTGGGATAAACCTGTATCTACACAATATCTGAACTAACAACCAGACACAGCAAGAATCACGGAGGCACAGAGTAATCTAGGCTGGAAGAGGACCCTGGTGGTCATCTGGTTGAAGTCTCCCACTCAAAGCAGGGCCAATTCTGAAGTCAAATTTGGTTGGTCAGGGTCTTGCCCAGTCAAGAACACTTCACTATCTAGCAGAGCTGCCACAGTTTTACACAAGTTCCTGTACTTCTGACATTGCAAGTTTATGCAGAGCTCTAGCTCATTCCAAATTTTGCTGGAACTGTCAAATGCACTCACCTCACCCGCTTTCACCCCTTCAGATGTTTAACTACTTAAACATTTCCAAGTTTTTCTGCTGAAATGAGTCTTGAATTGGAGGTGGAAGCCTCTGTGAACCCAGGGCTAAGGTTATTAGAGGAACCCAGTGTCAGGTCCTCTCCCACCCGTTGTGAAAGGCTGGAACACTGTATGGCAACCTCCAAGAAGGTCAACCTCTGTTTTAAAGCTGTTGCACTCAGCAATACTCACTGGCTCCTACCAAGCACTGGCACAGTGAATAGTTGTTTAAACAAAGTGTAAGAGGCTCAGCTAGGGAGACAGAAGAAAACCCAGTGCCCAAACCACCTCTGTCCTAGCACCTTGTGCCTTGAAAGCAAGCATGCAGAGGTGTCTCATCCTGTGACTAATGAAGTGCTTGGACCCCCACTGTTCTCCACATGGTTTCCTCTCGGGTGGTCCACACAGAGAGGATGCATGTGGGGGTGCAAGCTTGGAATCCAAGGAGGCTGATGGACTGAACAGTGGTGGATGAAATGTTACCGCTCTCAGCTGTGTGTATTGTTGCTGGCTGAAAACACCTTCCATGACAGTCCTGCCAGCTCATGTGAACACCCTCCAGTATGCTCTGGTCCATCCTAACTCAAGACACCTATTGAAATTGCTTAAGAAAACTTATTTTGCTAATTTTGCTTAAGCAGAGCAGGGAGTGCTCTGACAAACCTTCCTGCCAACAGAGGCAACTGCTGTCAGAAAGGCAATTAATTACCAACACTAAAAGGGCTGTGATGTCTTACTCTGGTCCAGCTTTTCTCTGGGCAAATGTCCATCTCTTACTGTTTATGGAAGAAAACAATGCATTGTTCAACTGTTTAGTTTATTTTTCACTGAAAAATCAGTTGGAAAAAAAGAACAAATTAAATTAAAAGAACAGGGTTACTTTAATCACAGTCTTATTTAAATGCCCATTCCCACAGAGATCTGAAAAGATGTCAAATATCTTCATGATGCTATCTTCTTGAATGAACCTATAAAAAAGAAAATCATACTGTGATCATTTAAAAAAAAAATCCGTAGAGTAAAATGGGGTGGAAAATGATGCCATATAAAGAATATGCAATTGAAAACAGAAGTAACAAAAGATAAAGCTCTAGATAAAAATCTGGATAGCATTTACTTGCTTTATTTCCTTGTTTCAAATTGGATTAACTTTTCTCATGACCAGTGGTACAAAAATTATTAAAAATAACTGTTTATGTATTATGGACAGACAGTGCCATAAGAGGAAACTAAACTGCCTTAGTCTGACCCTCCCATGTGCTGTTTTCAGGGATTTCTCCTCATTCAGTGTTTCACATTTAAGAGTGAGGCTCAATCAATCATTCAAGCCTCTGTACAGCAACACTGAACGATGTACCTGTGATTAAGCCTTGTTCCCAGTACAGAATTCAGACTGAAAGAACAGTCTTTGAACAATAATTGATCAAACAAGGTTCTTCTATCGTAAGACTGCACTGACTTGCCTATCTGAAAAAAACGCAATACTGTGGCTTCGTATTTGAGACAGAAAAAGTATTGTTCTTATTTTCTGCTTCTTTATTTTGCATTTATCATCCAGGTAAGGACTGCACGTAGGGGAAAAATTCTGAAAAGGCTTTTTAGTGGCTATTTAATGAACTAATTCTTCTAGTATATGGCTGGCATTACACTTAACTGCATACTTCAGTGACAAATACATCAGTTGAAATAAGACAGCAAGGCAACTTGTTCTGGCAGAGCCTAGACCTTCCCAGCAGAAGCCATTCTAGAGTTTTCTGAAAATTTTAACCTAGGGTCACCAGCCTATAAATAGAGGAGGATGCCAGGCAGAAGCCTTGATTGCAGCAGACAGCTACCACACACTGGGCTGCTGGGAAGACTGCAAGAGTGAGGCTCTGGGCCACATAACACAACAAGGAGTAACAGCCTTGATGTGAAGTTAAGACAGTGACTGCCCAAAGGTTCAGAAGACTGAAGAACCTCTCAAGCAAACCAAACCAAATCAAATCACAAAGAAACCAAGAGAGGAGACTGCATCAAATCCCAACACATACTACTACTTTACAAGTAAAGACTACAGTTAAACAGAGGTAAAAAAGTGGGAATGACAGAAGTATTTCAAGTAGTCACCTTCCCTAAGCAATAATTGACTGAATGAATCTGCACTATGTTTGTCACAGGGTGATTCATTTTTTCAAATTATTTCCTTGAGATAAATTTGTGCACCTCTAATCCCAAACAACAAGAGCTTTCATTCAGCATCTTAAATTCAGTACCAGCAGATCATGAAATTCCTTCTAAACTTCAGACAGAAATTAGTTCAACTGCTACAAAAATGCAAAGAAAGACGTATTAGAACGTAAAATCATTTAGGTTAGAAAAGACCTTTAAGATCAGGACCAACCACTAACCTAAAACTGCCAAGTCCCTCGTTAAGCCATCTCCCTAAAGTGCTATACCCACACATCTTTAAAATACCTCCAGGGATGGTGACTCAACCACTTCCCTGGGCAGCCTGTTCCAATGCTTGACAACGCTTTCAGTGAAAAATTTTTTCCTAATATCCAATCTAAATCTCTCTTGGCACAACTTGAGGCTGTTTCCTCTCATCCTATCACGCGCTACTTGGGACAGGAGACCTACACCCACCTTGCTACAATCTTCTTTCAGGCAGTTGTAGAGAGCAATACGGTCTCCCTTCAGCCTCCTTTTCTACAGACTAAACATCCCCAGTTCCCTCATCTGCTCCTTGCAAGACTTGTGCTCTAGACCCTTCACCAGCTTCGTTGCTCTTCTCTGGACACACTCCAGCACCTCAATGTCTTTCTTGCAGTGAGGGGCCCCAACTGAACGCAGGATTCAAGGTGGTGCCTTACCAGTGCTGAGCACAGGGG